TCCTTCTACATTTAAGGAAGCAGAGTCAAGCTCTGATTCGATTAGGTGGAGGGAAGCCATGGAGGAGGAGATGCAGTCTCTTCATAAGAACGACACTTGGGAACTTGCAAAGCTACCGAAGGGTAAGAAGGCTATTGGATGCAAGTGGCTGTATGCAAAGAAAAAGGGATCTTCTATTGGGGAAATTAGATTTAAAACCAGATTGGTTGCCAAGGGATATGCACAGCTAGAGGGCGTTGATTACAACGAGGTATTTTTACCTGTTGTGAAGCATTCGTCGATTCGTATTTTATTGGCATTGGTGGTACAGCTGGATTTGGATTTGGTCCAAATGGATGTGAAAACAGCCTTTCTACATGGAGATTTAGAAGAGGAGATCTACATGACACAACCTATCCAGAATACAACAACATGTCTGCAACCTTGTGTGGGAGGGTCTTTACATCTAGTTTCGGTTCATGAAATCTCAAACCAGAATATAGATTACTTAACCTTTTCCTGAACTTTGATTTGAAACGCACCACTGCATACTCCGTCATTACCCCACACGATATTCTCCTTCTTTTTTGGATAGCCACTGGTCAGCGATTGGTCCAGATGGATGTGAAAACAACCTTTCTACATGGAGATTTAGAAGAGGAGATCTACATGATACAATCTATGGGGTTCAAAGCTGCATGAAAGGAAGAATTAGTATGCAAGCTGAAGAAGTCTCTTTACGGATTGAAGCAATCGTCGCGACAATGGTACAAGAGATTCGACGGCTTTATGATTGGCCGATGGTTCACGAGGAACCCATATGACCCGTGTGTTTACATGCACAAGTTACAGAATGGTGAGTATATCTATTTGTTGTTATATGTTGACGATATGCTCATAGCTTCCAGGAATACTTCAGCTATTAGAAAGTTGAAAAAAAAGCTGTCATCCGAATTTGAGATGAATGATCTTGGAGAAGCAAAGAAGATATTGGGTATGAAGATCGAGAGAGACAGGGTGAAGGGGAGGTTGAAGTTGACACAGAGGAGTTACTTGCAGAAGATGCTGAAGAAATTCAATTATGATGGCAATGCCAAGGTGATGAGTACTCCATTGGCTCCCTACTTTAAGCTATCAGCTAAGATGTCACCTGTTTCAGTTAAGGACCGGGAATACATGTCCAAAGTTCCATATGCGAATGTTGTGGGTAGCTTGATGTATGCAATGGTGTGTACAATGCCAGATTTGTCACAGGCCGTGAGCATGGTATCAAGATACATGCATGACCCCGGGAAGGGTCATTGGGAGGCCGTGAAGTGGATTCTACGGTATATCAAAGGTACCGTGGATGTTAGTTTGGTATTTCAGAAGAATGAGAAGAACGGGAAAGATTGTATTGGTTACATGGATTCTGATTATGTGGGGGATTTGGATAAGCGCCGGTCTACTAGCGGATATGTGTTTACACTAGCAGGAGCTTCGGTGTGTTGGAGATGCACACTTCAGTCTACAGTGGCTCTCTCCACTACGGAGGCAGAGTATATGGCGTTGACTGAAGCTGTGAATGAGGCTTTGTGGTTGCAGGGATTATTAGAGAACTTGGGGATTGCACAGGAGACCCTTCGGGTATATTGTGATAGCATGTCAGCTATCTATTTGGCAAAGAACCAGGTTTATCATGCGCGTACGAAGCACATTGATGTCAGATTTCATTTTGTTCGTGACGTTTTGGATAATGGAGACGTCATATTGGAGAAGGTCCACACGAAGGACAACCCTACAGATATGTTGACCAAAGTTGTTTCAGGTATCAAGTTTGGTCATTGTTTGGAACTTTTGAACATTCTTCGGTGTTGAGGCCTTTCGAGGCCATTTGGGTGAACTACGTAAGGCTTGATTCCTTGGGTAAGAGGATACGTAGGCAGTCTTTATGATGCAGCCAATTTGGTGAGTAGATACAGACATTTGGTTGCTTTGATGTCGGCTCAGTTTTGGAAAAACTTCACCGAGGTGGAGAATTGTGAACGTGGCTTCGTGGGGGGGACCACATGTGTGTGAACGCGGGTGCAAATGTCCTCAAATTAGTGTGAACACGGAAGAAACACGGTGTGAGCGTGGATTTGCAGGCAACCCACCCAAATAATGCGGCCCACCCAAACAACTATATATATCAATGTGAGATAGGATTTTAAATAGGTGAGCGGCTGATTCATGTGCGAAGGCGGCTGCAAAGGGTTTCTAGCAGAGAAAAAAAACGGGGGTGATAAAGCGCAAGAAGAGGAGGAAAATCACCGTTCCTTTTTTAGGGTTTTGTGCATCCCTTTGAGAGAATATTTGTGTGAGGGATCTGAGAGTTTGTGAGGGTGTTTAGGTTGTGAGATTGTAAACCCTAGTTGTATCTCTTCCTCTAATAGTAGATCTCCCCCTCCTTGCCCCGTAGATGTAGGCAATTTGCTGAACCACGTAAAATTTGTGTTCTTGCTTTGATTTGTAATAGCTTGTAGGATCCCTCGACATGTTCTCACTTTGATGAAATATCTGGCTTTTGGTTCCTGTTTCCTTTGAGAAACGAGAATTTCGTTGTGATCTAATCTTTTGTTGTGCACCTTGCGCATCGGAGGTGCTGCCGAAATTTTCGCTGCGCACAATAGTGCTTAGTAGTCAACTTGAGAATGTTATTATAGATGTTCGTTTTGATGAGAGATTTTTAGAACTTTAGGGAATTAATAACCTCTCTAGACAGTTCCTTGAGACAAAGAAGCATGTTGCATATCATTGGTATATATGCTTGTGAAGTTAGCTTTAATATTACTAGTTGCAACTACATCTGTCGAAGAACTTTCTCTGCAATATAAAGAACATGGTACACAATTGTATGGGAGATGCGTGGTTGAATGATTGTTTAATTACATATGTTGAGAAATAATTATATTTATAGTGTATAGAAAATGAGAAAATCATACAAAGGTATCAAAAGATGAAACCACGCACAGAGCAATTATAAGAAGGATTATTGTTTGCACTTAGAAGTATTTTGTTAGTTTCTGTGATGGTAATGAAAACATTCATGTATTGGTACGAAAATAATAGTGGAAAGTATTAAGTGTTGAGATTTTATGATTATTGTACACATAAATTCTCTATCGCTAGAATTTATTTTATAGAGTTTTTTCGTTTACGTGCATAATTGAATATGTGCCCTCAGAAGAACAAAAGTCTCTAGATCCGTCCCTAACTAACACTAAAAACTAGTACGCACTTAGTACAAACTATTATATATGTTTCTCCACTACTTTTTTTTATAGTGGCCACGAACCATTAGTTTCTTCAATTCCGAGAGCTGCATTCCGACAACTTTTTTAACCCTTCATCAATCCATAACCCTTCATCAATCCACGTAGACAATGTCTATATGTACATGTCCCCAGGAAATATATATATTTTGAAAGAAATAGGAATGGTTACTAACTTATTGTACAATTAATGATGAACATCCAATGCAAGCATCCATAATCAGAATCCTCTGTTGCACGTAAGTTGATTTTTCTTAACATAAACTTCATGAGGCATTTCGTTGATAAAATATATATAATATTGGCTAATTTGATTGCCCCATCAATCTCTTACTGGGAGCATTAAACTTCTGTATTACAATATTTCACAGTTAAACATCTGAATCTGTGGATTTGACCCAAAAGGTTGGATATGAAGAAAGAAAACTTACGGGTTGATTGCACACAGACCCGCCCTGTACTATCGTTGTTTTGAACTTACTACCCATGCAGTCTCATTGTTGCAGATAGACGCCCTGGAACCTCAGACTCAATAATTTCACTGGCCTACGGACAAAATATCTGCCAATATTTCACCAACGGTAGTGAAGTCAAAAAACTTATTAACTCAGGGGGGTTTATCTGCGATAATTGAACTACAGGGGAAGTAAGTGCAAAACAATGATACTAAGGGGGGCTTACGTGCAACTAACCCAAAACTTATTAGCATGTAATGGGCATTTCTCTTGAAAATCAACAGAATCGACGGGATTTACTACCTCCAAAAAGGGACTAGAGACAAATTCGAATTGACGAAGTCTAAAGGTTCTAGTATCCTTGTATAAATAGGCATCCTTATAAGAGGAATAAGGTGGGGTCTTTCTAATGGAAACTGTCGCAGCTGGTTCCTCATCGAGGAGCAAAAATGGGTATTATGGGGTCTTCTACATCAGGACATCCATTTATGATATTTCTCAAGGGGAAGTCCTAGCTCAACCGCACAAGGTGGGCTCTGCAGAGTCAAAAAGGGACCATCAACCCCATTTCAAACACCTTCAAACTTTGTTTGGTTATTGTTCTCTCAGGCGCCAGACAGTCACAGTATCCTACTGAAGACCATCAATAATGCGAATCAGATTTCTGTTAGATTTGAGCCAGCCATTTTTTTGGTAATTTAAGAGATAATGTTGAATAGTTCATTAAGGTATATTCTGCCTGAAGTACATCATAAGGGTCATATCAGCTCCTGGCGTAAAAGGCCGCTAATGGTCTTTATAACAAAAGATAATATGCTTGATGTCGAAAAACTGAGCCATAAAACCCTTCATGCTATGATTTGAGATGTTTAAGTCTTGTTGTGTCCCCATTTCACTTGCTTCAGTTCAGTCTTGGATCTGTTGGTCGAGAGTCGGTCAAACTTCAGTTACCTTTAAGCTTTTTTATTCTAGAGTTTAGGTCTGAAGTAGTTGTGCTTTTTTATGTAATATACAGATTACTTGACAGCATGATATGTAGAGGAACCATGATTTCATCGGAGAAGGGTTTTCTTCATATAATCTTCACAGATTATTGGGTATGTTCTAAATTTCAATTTCTGTTTAGAAACATATATTGCATGTACAGTAGGAAAATGATCATCTGAAAATGCCTAAAGAGCATTACTAACTACCTTTCTCCTCTTTCTTCTGCCTCGTGCTTTCCTGCGGACTTTGGGAACAAACAGGTACTAAAAAAATGTTTATATACGCATTAAGTCCCCTAAAGCATGACACTTTTATTAAACTTTCAATTGGAAGGAAGACAAATATAGATGGCCAATTATGCCCATTTTCAAGGTTTCTCACATACAAATTGCTCAGAAAGAATCACATAAATTGGAAATAGTGATAGTAAGAAAGACCAAGCATCAATGTGTCGTTGATGGTGTTGTGTAACCCAAGCGTTGAACTTCCCAGCTCGTACGGGGAGCTACTCCTTTATGCTGAGGAGTATATTGCTACAAATATGAAGAAAAGGACAGGGTGAAGCTTTGCACCGAAATAAATACACTATAAATAGTATTAATTCACCAAAATGCCTAGCTAGAAAGGGTGAAGGTGAAATACTGAAGAGAGCTACCTCCATTTTGATCAATAGCTCTCTAGCATTTGCCGCAGAAAGAACAATATTTCTGGCGGCTGGCTTAATGAAACCTTCCTCCACACCATTATCAAATAATGCAAGCAAAGAGTCGTAGTAACCATCAACATTTAATAGACCAACCTAAGCAATAAGTATTAGAAATTTATTTATCTAAGCTAACCCCATAACAAACCAAATTGCACCGATTTACAATGTGTTTTAATGAGAAAACTCACTGGTTTATTATGAATTCCAAGCTGTGACCATGTTATCATCTCCATGACCTCTTCCATTGTTCCATATCCTCCTATATGGCTCAAAGGTGTAAGAGAATCTATGTATTTACTTATTTATGCATCAATGAAGACCTTCCTCTTTATGCAAAGAGTTATAAGAGATATACCGGGAAGTGCAATAAAAGCATCTGACTGACGAGCCATTTCGGCTTTGCGCTCATGCATGTCAGCGACTACCTTTACTTCACCCACAGGGTGGCCAGATATCTGTAAATAGAAATACAGGTGTCAAGAATACTGCACTGAAATTTATGTTGTTTATGCTAATTCAGCAGATGTAAGAGTTGCTTCATCTGCTTATTGCTTACATTATTCATATGTAATATCTCCAGAGATCTCATAACTTAGACATCTACATTGGCCATAGCTGAACAAGCAAGGAGTAGCCATATGGACTTTTAAGAAATATATCATATATTTATCATGCCAATTTTATTTCATTTGAAAAATTCGCTACCAAATAAGCACGCCGTAAAAAGATAGTTTCACAACCTCAAGAATCACCAGTTTTCATAGCGCAAGAATGGGACACATAATTGCATAATTAGTATTTGCAGTTGCTTCAAATTAAACTAAAATGTTATTTAAATGACTTTTCCACATTTCTCCAGGCTAACTCTTCAAAGTAAAGGATATCCCGATTTATCTATTAGTAGGTAAGTGTTTTCTTGCATCTCTCAAGGTGTACAGGATATTGGTGTACTATCAACTTATTCTGATGTAAATAACTATCTCATTAACATCCAGAAAATTAACAGAAGCTATCATATCAGAAACTAATTACGATTAACCACAAAAGACCCAAACAAGAAAAGGAAATATCAGAAACAAGTCATGTGCTTTCCAAACAAGAAAAGGTAATATTAGCAAGTCATGTACCTCAAGAGGCATGAGAGCTGAAGGAATAACCCTGCAAGCAGTAATCAGTCAAATAATAATAATAATAATAATAATAATAATAATTAAAAAATAAAAAGTAAAAAATAAAAAACACACACAATTCATAGTGAAGTTTGTAATGAAATCAAAATTCACAGCGTGAAATCAAAAGTCCACACCCAAGAACATCACAGCCTCCATCATGAACTGTCCGAGAGATCAAACCCATCAGACCCACGCTCCCCCCACCGTAAACCAAATCAATCCTTCTCCTCACCTGCAAAAATCAATCCAAACCCATCAATCCAAATCACGCCAAGATCAAATTTTGAAGATTACCCAACAACCAAAATCATATTTTAACAATACCCAGATATCAAAATTAGGAAACAAAGGGTACCAGTTCATCGCCCAGGTCAAGAGCAGCATCACTGAACACAGCCCTGTTGCCAGAATTGCTGCCACAAAAGACACAGATTTTCCTGAACTTGCTCTGCTGCTCTCCATCCATTGCTATTATTCTCTGTATCTCCTCCTTTTTTTTATCCTTTCAGGATGAAAAGGCAAGAATTAGCATTAACGTGTTGGGTTTTCCCTCTCTGTTTAGTTTAATGGACAGGAAAGAGCAGGTTCCAGTTTAATATAATTTTTGCATACCCACTCGCTTTGGAATCCTGTTGAATCAAAAGGCAGAGGCCTCAAATCTTTCCAAAATAATCCTCCCTTTTAAAAAAATTATTTGGGTCTCTTTCCTCTCTTTTTTAAAAATCTCCAACGAGACGAAGAGCGGAGCTTCACGCTTGAATCTCTCAAAGCCGATGCCTTTTTTTCAAGTCTGCACTCTCTGACTCTGAGTTATGTATTTATCGAGATGGCTGTTGGACAAATTACATGATTGCCATCGTTACGTGAGCTTGCAAAGTAGGAGCCTTTGTTTGGGTTTAAGGAGTGGTCTACACGTTTAGAACAGTCCAGATTCCAACTGAAGGGAAGTCAACGCGCTCCTAGTTTGTTAAGAGTCAACTGCCACATAATAAGGAGAAGTAAGGAGATTGCATTATAGGATATAGATGGTTCTCTATGGAAAATTATGTAAGGAGTAAGGAGATAGAGATAGCTAAAATTATCAAGCACATGAGTTTGGTGATTGCATTATGGCAAAATTGAAAATTACAATATCAATCACAGCAATAATGTTGTATAATAATTGCACTGATTAAGAATGGATAATGAGCAACATTATGATCTTATTCTTATATGATTTTATATAGATGAGTAATTATTAGTAAGATTTTTTTTCTAGCTACATGTGTTGGAAAAATCCAATGGAGATCCCTCCATATAAAATCTTAACTATGAGGAGGTAGGACATTGCTCGTGTATTAACAATAACACATATATAAAAAGAAAACTTAAAATTGGACTCAAAGAAACCACATTCACTCGTGTGATCATGGGCATAACGCTTGTAACGAAATAAATAAAAAAGAAACAACTATGATATTTGACCACATGCAACAAACGTGCATTCCAAATGCTTTTTAATTTTTTGCTTTATTTGGGGTATTTTTTTGTAACTTTAGATTTTTAGGAGTTTGTAATTTTCAAATATTTTAGGTTTTTATGTAACTATATATTGTTCATGGAACTGTTCAAAAAAATTATTTTTAAGTTGTTTTTTTGTAAGGATTTTTTCGAGGTGTTTTTTTTATAAATTAAGCTTTTTCAGTGGGGTTATTTTTAATTTTTTGATTTTCAAGGTGTTGTCTATAATTTCAAGTTCTTTAGGGGACTGTTTGGTGTTTTCAAATTCTAGGGTGCTTTTTATAGTTTTTGAATTTTTTTGGTGAAGAGGTTGTTAGTAACTTTTAAATTTTTAGACTTTTCCATGTAATTTTATATTGGTCGGAAGGTTGTTAAATTTTTTTAGATTTTTAGGATTTTTTTATAATTTTGGGATATCTGGGGATGTTTTTATAACTTCTAAGTTTTTCCAGGGGTCTTGATGCATGTAATTTTTAGAATTTTCAAATGGTGATTTATAATTTGTAGCTGCGTAAGGGGGTTGTTTGTAATTTTTGATGTTTTAAGGATTTCTTTTGAAATTTTTATTTCTAAAGGGTTGTTTGTAATTTTCTGATTTGTGGGTGATTTGTATATTTTTTTAGATTTTTAAGAATATTGTTTATAACTTTTTTATTGTTAAGAAATTATTAAAGATGTTATTGTTAATTGGGATAAGATCACGAATAACGTATTATAGACCTATTTAAAGGGCTCTATTAATTAGGATGATTATAATATGATATTTAGAAAAATCAGGGCAATATTGTCCAAGGAAAGTTTTTCCTCAGCTCTCAGTTCTAAAGGGAGTACAATAGATTTAAAGTTTGTAATAAAGAACATGAATCAAGTCCTTACCGTCTCCCAACATTATTTTATAGAGGACCTCTATAGGATTTTTTTTTTCCATTCTCGCGATGATCTTTAATCAATATAAATCAATAAAGTATAATTAAAAAAAAAGAGTACAAGTCCTACTAGTACCCCCCACATGGTGTTAGGCAATGTGAACCAAATAAGGTAGTACCAGGGAACAGCTCGGATATTTCTCTGCTTCCCTTCCTCTATTTGGTTTAGATCGCCGTGCATAGCGTGTTGGAAGTCCTGACAGAATTTGTGAACGAGTTTTTTATAGAAGTAAACGAGTCTCTATAAACGGTACATCGATGAATATAATCATCAATTTCAAAATTGATGCTGGGATACTTGTATATTTCTTCCTTCTTACTAGGTAGGATGCATCCTTCTTACTAGGTAGGATGCATGTGCATTATATGTTGTCAAATATCACGAGTCTCGGTTTTTTATTGATACTAGTTCTTATGCACGTGGAAAAATATCAAAATATTTTTCTTTTATATTTAATTTATTAATAAATAAGTCAGATTCATCTTGAGTTCAAATATGTAAATTGAATTATGAGATTTACTATTATTTTTATTTAAATATTATTAAAAATCAATGTAATGGATTTTAAGCTAAACTGAGATGAATATACCTAACTGGGATATTGTAATTGTCATTATGAACTATATTTATAGCAATAAAGAAATTACATTTCTTATTGCATTGAAAATAGAATTGCATAACATTTTTGGATATTATAAGCTTAACTTGGACATCTTAATTGATTTCTTAAGAAAAAATATGAGTTGACATAATAATATCTTCAAGTAGAATAGTAAAAGAAAATAAGTTAAATTAATACTTTATGTCATATTCTAAACACTAGTAATCCCAAGATATAATATGGAGTCAAGCATGAATAATAATATCATTATGAACTAATGTTCCAGTAAAAAAGAAACTATATTTCTTATTACATTGAAAATAAAATTGCACAACACATTGGGACATTATAAGCTAATGTTTTATAATAAACAATATTACGAAACCATAATAATCATATAAAAATGAATTGCAAGGAATGGTTCCGAGATACCTCTTCTTACATGAGATAATAAAAATCAACCCATACAATAATATGCATTATTGAAAAGCAGTATGATTTGATCAAACCCATAAAAAATTTATAATGAAACTCAAAGAAACATGAAGGTTTTAATCAAGTGCGCATGCAGAACATTGCAGTCATAGAGTAATTGTCCAAAAACAGTAAAATTAGAGCAAACCTATAAATAAATTTAGATCGAACTCGATGAAACATGAGGATTTTAAACAATTGCGCATCGGAGAATTTTACAATTACTTTAGAGAGTAATTGTCCAAAAGCAGTAAGATTAGAGTAATCACATACAGGAATTTACAATGAAATTTGAAGAACAAAACATACTAATTACAGAAAAGAAAAGGAAATTCACCTATAATTGTCCAAAAGAAGTAATAAAAAGACAAAAACTAAATAATAATGGTAACTATAGTATAATTTTATGTGATGAAAGCAATCACATAAGCATACAAAACTACTAATAATGTTGTATGAAAATCCCTTATAAAAATTCATAATTCTACTCAAAAATTAAGATATGATATAAAATGATCAAAAAATATCATCCTTTATTTTTTTTCATATTATAATTGGACCGAGATCAATCTTTCTCCATGTTTACTTTTTTCCTGAGTACTTCTAGAGTAGCATCTTCATCATCTATATCGATTGTAATATCAGGCTGGAGGTGGATTTCTTGTGCTATTATATTTCCTTCGCCCTGTTCATCTTTTGTCTTTTTATCTAACTTCACAAGGAATTTGAACATTTTCCCGATGTTTAACACAAATTTCTAGAAATATGGACTCTGATTATTTTTCTGCTTTAATGAGAACAAATGTTAGTTTTATGTATATGAAACTTGTTTGATTTTCTAAATTATTACTTGAATAGAGTTAGGAATTACCTCATTTTTTTCGTAATGAATTTTTCTGTAGTGCATCCAATAAGAGCTTCTGCTGCATCAAACAGTGTTACTCTTGCATTATCCATGCTATTTTCCACGAGAATCTTAACTACGTACCTGTAGTTTTCATTGTTGATTTCTAGAGATAGTTAATATTGTTAGACATTCATTGTTAGACTGATTATCATTCTTGCATGCATCATGGTTTTATTGTCTAGAATAATATAAAATTGAAATAATATATTTCAGTTATAACTTAGCATTTTCATGGGCAACATGGCATAATCAATCAAGCATAAACAAACACATTATACAAAATTGTGAAGATGATGACATGGTTCATAGTATCAATTATCCAAAATGAAACTAACCTGTAAGGAAATCAAAATATGCCCTCTTGTTTCAGTTTATAAGCTCAGTAAGAGTACAGATCCGGTGAATTTTACAAAAATTTCTCTCTCTTAAAGGTTGCTTGTTATATTGGTTTTTGTCGTGACATAGATCATGATCTTGTGGCTCAGAATAATAAAAACTTGAATTAGATATATTTATGCATACAATGCATAGATCATGATCTTGTGGCTCAGAATAATAAAAACTTGAATTAGATATATTTATGCATACAATGTAGCGTTTTCACAAATAGAACGGCTCAGAATAATAAAAACTTGAATTAGATATATTTATGCATACAATGTAGCGTTTTCACAAATAGAACGATATAATTAATTAACCATAAAAAATCACGCATTGAGTAACATCTAATATGAAAACTGTATGCACTAATTTACCTACTCGATAAGTAGTCTGAAATCGATAGTCGCTAATTTAAGATCATGGAGAAGACTCTCCTACGAAACTATGCTTTTCAATGATCTATTATTTGACAAAATTCAACAAAAAAACATTAGAGATTCCAAAAACCATAATAAATTAATTTGTACAACATATAAAATAACAAATTGAGATCAAACTCCAACAACTTCAACATGATTTATGGAAAATAAATAGACAATAAATAAAACCTTAGAAATAAGACTAATTATCTTGATGTTTTCAGCAAAGTCTCCGAGGAATACCTAAGCATCAGTGAGCGGAGGAATTCTCTAGCAGAGATAGATGCAGTGTGTAGGCGTCAAAAAATGCTTACAGATATCCAAATACCACTCAAGGCAAAGAGAAGACGATAAACGCCATTCTCTTAATCAGAGGGGATCATTTAAAGGAAGCGAGACAACATGGAAGAACAATGTACACACCAACAGGCAGTACATGACGGCGCGGCTGATGCGCGATAGTACATGGTGCCGCGAATAAGGGCGGGAGCCCATGGTGGCGCCGGCTTAGACGCGGCAGCCTATGGGTTGCCGCGCTAAGGACGACACGGCCTATGGTCAGGCGGTTATTATAGGAAGGTGCTGCGGCGGTTACAAGGCAGTTATACGATAATGTTTTGA